AAAAAAAAAAAAAAAAGCATCGACCCATATCGCTTTAGTATTATGTGTTTCATTGTACTTAAATTATATTTCAATAAAATGTATTTTTAAAAAATGGTTAAAATGGTCAATTTTATGTCACTTATATTTTACCACAATAAAAAAATACATGAAACAAAATCAATGACATTTTTCAAGAAATACCATTCATGTTAACAAAAAATACAGCCAAAAGAACTGAATAGATGTAAAATATTTTATTATAACTTAAAAAAAAAAAATCAAAGCAGTGGATGAAATGTTCTTGGGAGAATATGTAAACTAAGAAGAGGAAAGACCAAAGGATGGAGTGCTGCTGGAAGACTAGCATTTAACAGGTGGACCCAGGAAGAAGACTCAGTAAAGGAGATTGAGAAGAAATTTTCGGAGAAGTAGAAAGAGAAGCAGGGCCCAGTGGCTCATGGAAGCCAAGTAAGAAGAGAGTTGCAAAGATGTGGCAAATACAGCAGAGAATCAAACAAGAAAATGATTCAGAAATAATCACTGGATAATTGGGAGGCCACTGAGGTCCTTGGTGAGAGTAGTTTTAGTCCCTGTCCTTCCCAAAATCCTTTTCTTCCCTTAAGCCTGATTAAACAACAGACTAGATTTCATATTCAGCCCTGGCCAGCCTATAGTGGTGTTGTGAGGGGCCAGCCTGTGGGCAGAAGCTGTGAGCCTGCCTTGGGCATGGACACCATCTGTGGCACTCAGCATCATGCCTGCTCACAGGAGGCACTCAGCAAAGGCTGCAGAACAAAGAGTGAGCCCAACTACTTCCTTATGATTTTGTTTCTGGCAAAGCCCTCTCTACTTAAAAGAGGTAAATGAGGACATTGCTTTCTGATGCAGGCAACCCTTGGTGAGTTAGGGCAGTAGGTGCCCCTTGTTCTGGGGCCTGCTGTCCTCTTTCTCATTAAGCAGAGAGCTTGGGGGTTGCAGATCAGTGGAGCTGGGAAAAGGAGCCTGGAGGAGAGAGAGTCTTCTGATCTCCAGGCCTTTCCTGACCATCAACCTTTCACCCTGTTCCCATGTGAACTTATCATACATTGTATAAGAGAGTGTGTGTATGTGCGAAAGGGTTCACTTCTGGGGCATTCTGAGCCCTATTAAATTTTGCGATCACAATGTAGTCTTAGTTTCCTAGTACTGCCATACCAAAATACCACAAGTGGGTGGCTTTAAAGAACAGAAATATATTTTCTCATAGTTCCAGAGGGTAGATGGCCAAATTCAGGGCATTGGCTCTAGGGGCAGGTTCTTTGTCTCTTTCAGCTTCTAGTTGCTGCTGGCAATCCTTGGCGTTCCTGGGTTTGCAGATTCTTCGGCCTCGACCTGTCATCATCTGGCTTATTCCCCTTTGTGTGTTTTTCTTTTTTATGAGAGACCACTCAGAGAGGATTAGGTTTAGGACCCATACTACTCTGATATGATCTCATTAATATAACACAAAGAAAACCCTATTTCCAAACAGAATTACATACACAGGTATGTATGAATCATCTGACTCATGGTGACCCCCACTGGATTTCCAAAGCTTTAAATCTTTACAGAAGTAGATTGCCCCATCTTCCTTCTACAGAGAGACTGGTGGGTTTGAACCACTGACCTTGTGGTTAGCAGCCAAATGCCTTATCCACTACGCCACCAGAGCTTCTTTTTACAGGTATAGGGGTTAGGGTTACAACATATATTCTGGGGGGGAACACAATTTAATCCTTAACAAGACTCTTAGGCTGGTCAGTCTATAAACAGGAGACCTGAAATCCAACCCTCACTACAGGAGTGCTCTGTAACCTTAGGCAAGTGACATCCACTCTCTGAGCCTTGATCCCCTCCTCTATGAATTGAAGGACTGGGATGGATGATCTCTGAGATAGTAACCAGTACCAGTCCTATGATGCCTTGATTCATTCCCTGAAGGGATTTGAGGGGTGTGTCTGTAGAGGGAGGGGCAATAGGAGCAGGAAGACCAATGGAATCCAGATACCTCTGTGCCCAAGTACCATCAAGGTTCAGCACTCAGATAGGGCACCTGAACTGTCAATCAAAGAATTCTCTAGGAGTAGAGGGCGGTACCCAGTTGTCTGGTAACCAGGAGGGCTCTCAGCTAGGAGCTAGGGAGGTAACCGAAGCCAGAGGGACCATTTCAGAAAGTCAGCTACGAAGAAGACCGAAAGAGGTATGGTATTCTGCGCAGAGGGTCCCAAGACTGGGTGGGGGTAGCCAGGAATTCCTTTCTAGGGAACTCTTTAAGAGGCAGAGTTTCTGGGTGTTCCTAGAAGCAGAGAGAGTTTCCTTAAAAAGAGAATCCGTCTCCTCTGTCTGTCCCCCATCCTAAAAAAATAGAGAAGAAAATGGTAGGAGCTGAGAGCCCAGATGCCTGGTCTTTCCACACCTTTTCCTGTCTCCTGGGAGGAGAGTTCATGAAGAAGCTTTGACTTTGGGAGAAACACTATCAGTATACACATACTGATGATATGAACATATTTGTGTTTAAGAGGGTTTTGGAGACCAGAGCAGGATGCTAGGGGCTGGGACTGGCTGCAGACAGAATGCTGAGGAGATTAAAGAGAGAAGTTGCCCTTGAGAAGGTAAATGGAGAGACAGAGTTCACCAGGCCCCCCATCACAGAGGTTGTTGTGTGTCATCGAGTTGATTCCACTCATAGTGACCCTATAAAACAGAGTGGAACTGCCCCATAGGTTTCCTAAGCTGAAATCTTAATGGGAACAGATTGCCGGGTCTTTTTTCCCACAGAATAGCTAGCTGGTGGATCTAAACCTCCAACCTCTTGGTTAGCAGCTGAGCACTTAACCATTGCACCACCAGGGTTCCTTGCCAATTCAATGGCTCACTTATCTTTGTGCCCCCAGTGCTAGTATGACTCCAGGCACATAGTGGAGTTCACTGAGTATTTGCTGAGCTGACCTGAGATTAGATAGTAAGAATACATATGTTATCAGCGTAAGTGAGGGCACAGTAGGAAGGAAGTGACAGAAGGGAGGCCCTGTGTATGTTCTGTTCATCCATTCATCTGTTCGTTCAATAAAAATTTACTGCGCATCTACTATGTGCTGGATATTTCAAGTTGCTCATCCTCTAGTGGGAGATACAGACAAGGAGGTCAACAACTCTACCTCAGTGGGGTACATGCCGTAAAAGCATGTTATGGGAGCACAGAAGAAGGAGCCAGTTTCGGGCAAAGGGCTTTCTAAAGGAACCTGTTACTTAAGCTGAGTCTTGCAGGAGGACTAAGTTAGGGCGTTAGACTGAGAGTAGATATGGTGTCCAATAGGATAGAGAAGAAGTGGGATAGAAGTGAGTGCCATACCAGGGCAGTGGGAGAGCTGAATTGCATTCAATAGATCTTGCTTTTGGGGAATCCAGGTGATGAACTGACCCCTTTATCCCCCATTGTCAGTCCTATGTCTTCCCCCACCCCTGAGGTCATTCCCCAAGAGCCTGAGCCAGAGCCCTCAAGCTCCAAGAAGAAGAAGAAGAAGAAGTGGCTGCAACAAGAGGCCACCATCCAAGCCCTCACCAGGACTGGTCACAGTGCCCTGCGGGCAGGCCAGAACCAGAAGGCTTTGACCAGTTTCCAGAAGGCCTTCCTCCTGGCTTCTGAGGCCCCCAAAGTCAGAGACACCCCTGTTCTCCGTGCCTGCGCCTTCAATCTTGGGGCTGCCTACGTGGAGACCGGGGATCCAGCCAGAGGCCTTGAACTACTCCTGCGAGCCCAACCTGAAGAGAAGGCTCAGGGCGGGTGCCATGGTGACCAGTGCTTCAATGTGGCTTTGGCCTACCATGCACTGGGTGACCTGCCTCAAGCCTTGACCTGGTACCACAGGTCCCTCAGCCACTATCAACCACAGGGTGACCAGGGAGAAGCTCGGGCAAAAATGGGAGCCTGCTATGAGGCTCTAGGGCAGCCTGAGCTAGCAGCCCCCTGCCTACAGGAAGCAAGTCGGGCCTATGCCCAGGCAGGACAGCCCCAGGCCGCAGCCCTGGCAATGGGGGCTGCAGCGGGGTGTATGCTGAAGAGTGGGCAGCATGGGGTGGGTGAGGTGGTGCAGGTGCTGGAGGAGAGCCGGAGGCTTGCTGACAGGAGCACTGAGCGGAAGTTGCTGGGTGAGGCTTTTGGGCAGAGGAAGTATGGGATGTGGGCATGTAGAGCCTGGTGATACTCTGTGGGGAGGGTGGAAGCAGAGGCATTTCTGAAGGCTGGGGCAGGGGCTGGGGGAAGCCTGGGAGTATGGGACAGGGGCTACAACAGTATAGCTTCAGTTAGTGTCTGACCTGGCTACCAGTGACCCTACTCATGCCCTCTAGGGCAACTCTATAATGACATAGGCCTGGGCTACTCCCAGCTCCAGCTCTTCCCACTGGCAGTGGAGGCCTTCCTGCAGGCCCTGCCCCTGTGCCGGGGTCCAGGAGAGGAGGCTACAGTACTAAGAAACCTTGGGATGGCCCACAATGCCCTCGGCAACTATCAGGAAGCTCGGGAGTTTCACCAGAAGGCTGCGGACCTACATGGTATGTGCCAGGGACTAAAGAATAGGATTGGGACTAAGGAACTAAGGGGAGGAGAAGCTCTGTGACTGAAGACTAGATGGATCACTAGGACCAGGAATAGAGCCCAGAAGCTCAAAACCAAGGGGCTGGGGGCTGGGCGTGCAAAGATGGCATGACCAGGCAGGGCAGGAGTTCTGGGCCCAGAGACTGAGACCTGGGGGTTGGGAAGGCAGCAATAGACAGAGGGAAGAGTGCTGGCTTCAAGAGGAGGCCTGAAGCGGAATCCTAGCTCTTCCTCTGTTTGTGTGATGCTCAGGAATCAAAACAGAGCTATTAATACTGGCCTTTTAGGGTGGGTGTGAGGGTGGGAGGGGATTCAGGCCAAAACGTAGGACTGGGAAGAGGCCCAGTTTCAAGAGTTCAGGCCTCTGTGGTCTATCTGGAGGTGTGCTAGGGCTGAGCACCAGGACTCCTGGGGACTCTTCCTTGGTTTCTAAGGACATCGTCCTGATGCCCCAGAGGCCAAGGTCCCCTCTTTGGATGGGGTGGGCTCTGTCTTCAGGCTCCACAGGGCAGCGGTGGGAGCAGGGCCGGAGCTTTGGCAGCCTGGCATTTGCACTGAGCCAGCTAGGGGAACACAAGGCCGCCAGAGACAACTACCTTCATGCCCTGCAGGCTGCGCGGGATGCTGGTGAGGACGAGGGGTTAGCGTGTAGCTTGGGGAGGTGAAGCCCAAAGGCTGAGGGTCTTTGGGGTTGACTGGGAGGCAGATGGGAGAGCCTGGGGTGGGAGTACCTCTGGAGGGGCGGGTCACTGGTGTAGGGAGCCATGAGAGGACCCCTCAGGCTCTCCTTTTCCAGGGGACGTGAAGGGGCAGTGGCAGGCTTGCGAAGGTCTAGGTGCTGCTGCAGCCAGACTGGGGCAATATGACCAAGCCTTGCAGCACTATAAGGAAGCGCTGGCCCAGTGCCAGGTGAGACCACCTGACTTCCCTGCTATCCCTCCTCTAGGAAGCGTCCTCTGGCTGATGCTCCTGCAAGCAATCCTTGCCCTCTCCATTCATTCACACAACAAACTTGCTTTGGAGACTTTGTGTGCTAGGCCCTAGGGTTACTATTCTGAAAAAGATTCTGTTTCTGTCCACAGTTCTGAACAGGGGGTAGCAAGACCCAGGGAAGAGGGCACAGGGAGGGAGCAGAAGAGAGATGAGGCAAGGCCCTCTTCCCTCTTCCTTCTCTTGTTCTTTCTTCCCCAACCCCAGAGGACCACAGAGTCCAGTCCTTCCTCCTGACACATTATCTGCCCCCCCACCAGAAGGAGCCAGATTTTGTGAGACGACGTCTGGTGGCCAAACTGGCGGATGCCATGAGGACTCACTTGGCCCAGGGGAGGCTGATTCCGACTCATACCCTGGTGAGATGACACCCGAGACAAGGAGCTCAGTTGGGGGTGGGGAGAAGTTACCCAGAGAAAGGGGGAAAGGGTCAGCCGACCTGGTGTTCTCAGAGATGCTCGGCTTGGCTGCTCAACTGTGCTCACCTGCCCTGGCTCTGAAAATGGAGCGTATCACTTTTCTGGGGCCACCTGCAGGTGAGAAGGTGGGTGGAGGATCATCGCAAGTCTCCAACACAAGGGCTGTGCGAGGGCTTTAGCTGTGTAGTAACCAGCTCATTGGATGAGGGATCTTGAGCTATACGCGGGAGGAAGTGGAACCAAGTTTTAAGTCATTGACTGCAGTTTCCGAAAGGGCCACAGGATGGCGGCAGTGCGCCAACGAAGTCCCTCTCTCCTGACTCAAACCGAAACCAAACTCTGCCTTGGATTCGGATCCCACTCATAGCGACCCCTCCTTCGGTTTCCGAGGTGGTTATCACTACAGAAGTAGCTTGCCCAACCTTCCTTCCTAAGACTAGTGGGTTTGAACCGCCAGCCTTCTGGTTAGCAGTCAAATGCCTTAGGCACTATGCTACCAGAGCTCCATCACCTGCCTGTTGTTGTTGTTGTTATGTGCCGTCGAGTCAGCCCTGACTCATAGCGACCCCTCCTTGGGTTTCCGAGGCAGTATCACTACGGAAGTAGGAT